TGACTTTAGGTTTGGTAATATTTAGTAGTGTTGACTTTAGGTTTGGTAATATTTAGTAGTGTTGACTTTAGGTTTGGTAATATTTAGTAGTGTTGACTTTAGGTTTGGTAATATTAAGATGATTAAACAAAGGAAAGAATGGGTGATCAAACAGGATGTAACAAATGGTAGTAAAATAAATCAAACAAATAAAATAATGGGTGATCAAACAGGATGTAACAAATGGTAGTAAAATAAATCAAACAAATAAAATAATGGGTGATCAAACAGGATGTAACAAATGGTAGTAAAATAAATCAAACAAATAAAATAATGGGTGATCAAACAGGATGTAACAAATGGTAGTAAAATAAATCAAACAAATAAAAGAATGGGTGATCAAACAGGATGTAACAAATGGTAGTAAAATAAATCAAACAAATAAAAGAATGGGTGATCAAACAGGATGTAACAAATGGTAGTAAAATAAATCAAACAAATGAAAGAATGAATGATCAAATAGGATGTAACAAATGATGGGAAGAGATGAACAAAATTAAAAGTAATCCTTTTGACCCTTGAACTGACACAAATCCGTTAGTTAATGAAACTCTAGAACCAAAATCAGAGTGCCACCTACCTCGTTAACCTAATTATGTGTGTGTATATATATCAGATCTTTTAACATGTGCTTGAGTATTTGATTGTGCGAGGAATGGCGGGAACCAATGTTGAACATACCTCCGATCTCTTCTGGTGCTGATTGGTTGTTTATCTTTAAACCAAGATATCGTGATTGGATGTTCGCCATACGCCTCACATTCTATCTCAGCTTCTTCACCTTTCTTGCTTTGTAAGGATTGGAAAGAGTTCTGGAAATGAGCAGAAACTGAAAGAAAAACAAATCTTGATTTTAAAAAATCTCTTGTTACAACATTCTAAAATGTATGTTACAACATTCTATTGTTTGTAGTTATGTACAAAGCTACACCATGGGCTATCCATGCTCTGCCCACCACGGGTATCGAAACCCGGTTTTTTAGCGTTGTAAGTCCGTAGACATACCGCTGTGCCACTGGGGGGCTACAACATTCTAAAACCCTGCTACAACTTTCTAAAATCTCTGCTACAACTTTCTAAAATCTCTGCTACAACTTTCTAAAATCTCTGTTACAACATTTTAAAATCTATGTTACAAACTGGATTACTTCCTATCTCAGTTGGACGTTAATAGATCAATTTTATTTAGAAACAGTTTTTATGTTCTTCGAATAACTAGAAACGTATAAGTTAACACCAAAAACGAATACAAACAAAAATAAAGGAAGAAATTAATAAAACACAAAAAATTGTGTTTTCCCTCTTTCATTACATTTGATTTTATATACAAATATCACAGACAAAAAATCGATCTGTTTTTGGAAGAAATCAAGTTATACGTCTAATGATAAATGTTGACTATTGGCCACAAAAACTTGATAATATATCAACCAATCGAAGAAATTGTGTAAGATATTGATAAATAAATTAGGTGGCCCATAGATGATAGACTCTATAACATCGGTAAAATCAACTGTGGAAATACAAATATGGAACAGAAAGTTTTGTTTCATTTGCTGAAGTCAAATTTCCCGCGTTCACTGACAGAAAATACCTCACGTTTTAATACTTTTGGAGTTATTACAAAAATACAGTTTCTGTACCGAAAATTACACTCCCTGAATAACTGGTATTAGATAATCACTTAAAATTACACTCCCTGAATAACTGGTATTAGATTATCACCTAAAATTACACTCCCTGAATAACTGGTATTAGATAATCGCATAAAATTACACTCCCTGAATAACTGGTATTAGATAATCACCTAAAATTACACTCCCTGAATAACTGGTATTATCAATTGACTATAAGATTTATTTTGTCCCTTTAATAGTCGTTCATAATTATATCTTACTTAAACTTCACACAATCACCAGAGGGCGTACTAGACCCGTTTCCCTCTGATGCACAGCCTCTCGTGAGGGTATGTTTTGTTTGTCTGCTGTATTCTTTGTTAATAATTCAAACACTATAGTATGAATAGGGAACAAACTGTTTGGAAAATGAATGAAGTCAGGTAACTCTTCCAGTTATTCAGTTTACTAAGGTCACTCCCTACTCCATGTACTGATATTGGTTACATACCATGTATAGAGAGGTGTATCAGTTTACTAAGGTCACTCCCTACTCCATGTACTGATATTGATTACATACCATGTATGGAGAGGTGGATCAGTTTACTAAGGTCACTCCCTACTCCATGTACTGATATTGATTACATACCATGTATGGAGAGATGGATCAGTTTACTAAGGTCACTCCCTACTCCATTTGAAGCCTGACATAAATAATATCCTTCATCTTCTTTTTGAGCTTCCAGCACCACAAGGGAACCATTTTCCATGACGTGGACACGAGAATTGCTGACCACTGGTTGATAATTACCAAGGGAATCTCCTAATCATTAGAGAAGGTAAATGAAAGGTAACTTCTTGGATCAAAGATTGTTAACCCTGATTTATTCAATAAGCCGTATTTTATGGTCAGTATATTATACATCAAAACCTTTTAAGTACTAATATTAAGGAAAATAAATGTCATCTAGTGAATGTCATCTGGTGAATGTCATCTATCTGGTGAATGTCATCTGGTGAATGTCATCTAGTGAATGTCATCTGGTGAATGTCATCTGGTGAATGTTATCTAGTGAATGTCATCTGGTGAATGTCATCTATCAAGTTATCGTGACAGTAGAAACACATCATTCAAATTAACTTTCCTCAATTGCAGCATTCTTGGGATCATTGGGAGAAAATTTGGTGTCCATAGTTACACTGGATAAATCTAGTTCTTGAGATTTTACTCCAATGTAAGTTTTACCAAAAAATAGGAAAATGTAGATTTGAATTGATCCATTATCGTTCCTCTGACCTTTAGATAAGAATATATACAAGTTACATACGTTATCATAAGTTACCTGTTGCATACAATCATTCCAGCTCTCCAGCATTTTCAATAAATTTACAGTATTCTGAATATCATGTTGGTTGTCTAGAACGTAGTGCCACTATTTTATAGTACACTATATTTTTCATTTTACTTTATCTTGACAATGGAGTTGATATTTCTAACTAAATATCAAACAAAATAATTTTTATCCTATTAATGAGAAATATCTGAAATTAGCAGAATTGACATAGATCAAGATATATTTATAATTTCAGTATCGTCTAAACATTTCACAGAAATAAATAAGGTTTATCTAGCAACATTATTTGACAAAATAATTTCATTTCAATGTGAAATACGTAATCTGTATTTTCTTCTCATTGTTCAGTAATACAAGTGACCACAAACCATAAAAATAGCATAAAATTCTCTGAAAAATTAAATAACTTATTTTGAATTTCTCTTATCAATGTTTTTGAAACATGTAATTCATCAAAACCTGATCTAATATCCATTATTACTTTCAAGAAGAAGAAAATTAACAACATGGAACTAAAAGACACTGGAAATAATTAATATAATTTACCGGTGCTAAGTCTAACAGATGTAAAGCAATGGAAATAATTAATAGAATTTAATAGTGCTAAGCCTAACAGATGTAAGCCAATAGAAATCATTCATATAATTTAATAGTGCTAAGCCTAATAGATGTAAGCCAATAGAAATCATTTATAGAACTTAACAGTGCTAAGCCTAATAGATGTCAAAATTGCTAATCGTGTACTTTATCATAATGAAGATTAAAATATCATATGATAGACTGTTGTACTCTACCAACGGCCTTGAGCCAAGTGACTCGGGGTGGGGGAAATCCCTCAGATCGACAGTTTATGGTGTTGCTTTCACCCCTTACGACCTTCGTGTTATTAGGTTCTATCTTCCACACTGGTGACACTGCATGAAAAATGATGATTTTTTTAAAAGGTGTCTCAGCATCTTAAGAAGTGCAATACGGGATTTTTCAGTACGAAACAATATGAATGTTTATTCACTTAGATGGCTAGAATTTATTGGTTAAAAATATGACCCAGTAATTGTAATTTCAGTGTGTATATATATAAAAAAATCGTTACATAACAAAGTTTTTATTGTCACATTCTTATCACCACTTTAATAAAAGTCATTAAGGAACGTATCTTACTTTTCAAACGAGTCAGGTGCGAAGCTTTTAACCAAGTGTTAAAGAAAAGAAACGAGATTTATTTAGACTTTTTATGATGTATCACAACTATCCATCATGGTGTATCATAAATATCCATCATGGTGTGTCATAAACCGGTGGCCATCATGATGGATATTTATGACACACCATGATGGATAAACTAGTTGTGACACAGCATGATGGGTAGTCATAATGTGTCACAACTTCTCATCATGGTTTGTAACATTACTCATCATGCTGTGTCACAACTATTTATCATGATGTGTCACAACTACCAGTCAACATGACAATATAATTCCTCAAAGATAATTGACGAAACTTTTTTACGTCCTATCGTGAAACTGACACTTTGTTATAACGTAAGGGAGATTAAACACTGAAATCAGAGCTTTCTATAAAGAGGAGAGTAACGAGAGAATACACTGTCCAGCAAGCTTACCGAATCCAACCGAACACGCTTGGAATGTTCTGGAAACGGCTGTCATGGAGTATTAAGCCACACCATCCCAGTAATACATTTTAAACATACCACATCAATTTAAGACTTGCATCGGTACCATAGGTAATTAATTAACAAACGTTCGCGTATGATTACTCTGTTGCAAAGTCTGTAATATCAAGTAAGTATTTAAGTGTCCAGCAGCAGGTATTTGAATATCGAATCATATGACTGGTCAAGCTTCTGACACTTGTTTCGCCTAAAAACAAAATCACAGATGTCATTATTTAGTAATAGTAGTTGCTGTCATGGTTAGAATAACCTCCTACTAACCATTAACTGGTTTAAGAAGTGTGATTATTAAATGTATTTCATGTTTTCAAGAAGTTCGGACTTGATTTGAAATAATGCTCGGTAAGTAAGAAATTTTTGCCTTAGATACCAGAGCACTTCGCTATGGAAACAAAATGCGAAGAAACGTTCAGAAAGACTGATCAAATGAAATTTAACAAGGAAAACTGGCAATATATGAAACTTTTTCCTGTCAAAATGCCAAGAGGTGAAACGTTATCCTGTAAAAGTGTTAAAGGCGAACCGTTTTCCTGTAAAAAGTGTTAAAGGCGAAACGTTTTCCTATAAAAGTGCTAAGAGGTGAAACGTTTTTCTGTCAAAATGTCAAGAGGTGAAACGTCTTCCTGTAATATTTTATGGGTTGATTTATAAATGCCGTTAAAACCAGGATATTATTAAACCTTCTTGTACATATGTTTCCAAATTGTTTACAAAACATAAAAAGGTCGATTCTTACCATGGATGACCATTGTGGAACTGTGCTGGTCAGTACCGACATTGTTTGTAGCAATGCACGTGTAAAGACCTCGGTGGGTTGGATTCACGGATTTAAACAAGATAGTTGAGGAATAGTCCGCTAGGACGTGCACTTTGAGTTCTTCGGATTCCACCAATGGCTGTCCGTTTTTTAACCATTTAAGTTTCATTGGTGGATCTCCCTTGACAACGGTACAGGTGGTAGTAAGACGTTGGTCAAGATGGACGGATTGAGGAAAATGAAAAGGTTCAATTTGTGGTCTCACTAAAAGAAAGAAAATAACAGGATTTGTCAACTACGCATTAAACAAGAAAATATATTCAGTTATCACCGATAAAAGAAAAAAGTCCAGTGGTCTGTGTATTAATTATTAAGATGCTACTGTTCGATCAGACATCTTGTTGTGATGTTACATCGAAGCAGCTGACGATAAAAATATTTATATATATACTCAGTTCCTTACTTCTTATAACGATAGCAACCGTTCCTTCTGCAGTATCCCCCTGTTTATTATTGGCTCTGCAGGTATACAAACCCTCGTCCCTAGGTCGAGTCACAGCCTTGATCTGGAGAGTTCCATTGGAGAAAACCAGTTGACGGCGGCGATACGGTAGTCTTACGCCATCTGGATAAATCAAATAATTGAATACAATAAAACGGTGTATTTGTTGAATTTATTACGAATCAGTAGCTTTACTACAAGATTCTAAAACGATTTATAAACAACAAGTAGATTAATGTTATTGTCATTAGTTCAACATAAACGACCAGATGAATATCCTACACACACACACATATATATGTATAGTCGGCTGCATTCTTTGATCCACTTATGATATACAGTGGCTACTCTTATGTTATCCTTGTATAGAAGGGCTTGAGTTCTTTTCCAACACCTACATACTACCTTTATGTGGTGAAGTAAACATTCATCTTTCCAGATAACTTTGCTCCACTGATCTGTCGATCTTATTAAACGATACTTTACTGACTTTCGTGTTGCTTTGCGTCCATTAAGTCCACTTTCCCGCAACTACGACAAATTATTGTCGTTGATACAATGATAAATCATCAAATACCGCTTCCATTTACAGAGTAATATTGGAGAGGTCAACCTTTGGTTTGTAAGTGACATTCTAACCAGGCTTCGGGTGAAGAGCTATTATTTTAGGGGAGAGGGAGGAGGCGGTCCGCAATAGACAATGGTGCTTCATGTTTTCTTATGATCATAATACTGTATAATGTTAATGTCATCCAGCCTTTCCTTGTATCTCTTCGTGTAACACAGTAGGGGGAGAGGCGGTCCGCAATAGACAATGCTGCTTCATGTTTTCTAATGATCATAATACTGTATAATGTTAATGTCATCCAGACTTTCCTTGTATCTCTTCGTGTAACACAGTAGGGGGAGAGAGAGGTCCGCAGTAGACAATGCTGCTTCATGTTTTCTAATGATCATCTGGATGACATTAACATTATACAGTATTATTTTTCCTTGTATCTCTTCGTGTAACACAGTAAGAGGAGGAGAGAGAGAGGTCCACAACAGACAATGTCGCTTCGTGTCTTTTAATTATCTGCAATACTGCAAAATGTGATAACATTCAGCCTTATGGAGACGTCAAAGGACGAGTTACACTCGAATCTACGTCACAGAACATGCTTGTCCTTTGAGCCGTGAAAGCGTTATAATTTAACGGGCAATCCCACTTTTCGTTGGTAAACAAAAGAGTAGCCCAAGAATTGGCGAAGGATGGTGTTGACTAGCTACCTTCCCTCTAGTCTATCACTTCTAAATTAGGGACAGCTAGCGCAGATAGCCCTCGAGTAGTTTTGCGTGAAATTCCTCAAATAACCAGCTCTATGTGGAGTGAAAAACAAGATAAAAGTGAAAAATCAGTTAAATATTGTTGTCTGTAGAATGAGAGCGAAATAAGTGAAAAATCAATTAAATTGTGTAGTCTGTAGAATGAAAGCGAAATAAGTGAAAAATCAGTTAAATAGTGTAGTCTGTAAAATGAAAGCGAAATAAGTGAAAAATCAATTAAATTGTGTAGTCTGTAGAATGAAAGCGAAATAAGTGAAAAATCAGTTAAATAGTGTAGTCTGTAGAATGAAAGCGAAATAAGTGAAAAATCAGTTAAATAGTGTAGTCTGTAGAATGAGAGCGAAATAAGTGAAAAATCAGTTAAATAGTGTAGTCTGTAGAATGAAAGCGAAATAAGTGAAAAATCAGTTAAATAGTGTAGTCTGTAGAATGAGAGCGAAATAAGAAAAATCAGTTAAATAGTGTAGTCTGTAGAATGAGAGCGAAATAAAGAAAAATCAGTTAAATAGTGTAGTCTGTAGAATGAAAGC